GACGTAGCTATCGAAGAGAACCGAGTATTATTCGTGAATGATTTTCTCCATTGCTTGCCTTTCTGGACGCTGCAACTGTTCCTTCTGAGCGCCGGAGAACAATCATTTTGGTCACGTAATTGGAAAAACTTCGGTGGGCTTTGCGAATACTTTTTCCAGCCTCTACATCTTCGACCATTACCGTCGCTCTTCACTTTTTAAGATCTTTTCTTACCGCCTATCTCCGTTGTTGTGCAAGTTCGGACGTTAGTTCGCGGTTGCCTGCAGCTCGTGCGTTTCCACGCTGGCGTATCAGCTCGAGCGTTTCTGGAGAGAGACGTCTCTTCGTGACTTTCGAACTCTTAGCTTTCATAGCACTAACGTAAAATGTCGATCGTATTTTTCGTCAGTGTTATCGACAACGGCATCATCCCAACAGCCGACTAGTGAATTGAATAAGTCCCAGCTTGCGGTTGTTCTGCGACTTCAGTTTTTGAATTTAGCGGTTTTTTGTCCTTTCCGCGAGAAATAGAATCTTGCACAAAGGAGGCGATGGTCTGATCTCGTATAGAATTTTGGAACAACGGCGACATCGGTTAAGCAAAACCTCTATTTGCTATGATGTAGTCTATTTCGTTGTGATACTCTCCATTGGGAGACTCCTACATCGAGCGCTGAGGGTGGGGCTTCTGGAATTGCGAGTTACTACGGATGGTTTTGCTCGCCATGATAAACTCGGAGAGCCGCTCACCCTGTTCGTTCCATTCTTATCCGTGGGTCCCAATGTGATGTTCTTCAGATGATCTTCTTGGTCCAAACTTGGCGTTAAAATCCCCATCATGACCTTGAAGAATGTGTGGTCTTTTCTGCAGAACAGAACTTCTTCAAGTTCATATAGATCGCTTCGAGTTCTTCTTTGTCATAGTTTGGTGTCGGCGCGTAAGCGACGAAAATTGTCAAAGCCGGAATTGATCCACGCGCTTTTAACCGTAAACTCCGATTCGAGCTGTAAGTTGTTCGATTGAAATGAGGTTCATGAGCAAACTCGAGTTGACGAGAACGCCGATGCCGCCGACGCCTCTACTGTCGCATGTTCCGAGACACAGTTCTTCTTCGGTGTCAAAGAGGAGGTTGAAAGGCTGGTGTCTTCTCGTCTCGGCCAGCCCGATAGCGTCATACTTTATTCTTCTTGCTTGAATGAGTAAGTCTTCTATCGAGGACTCGGATGTAAGTGCACGTGTATTCTAGGCACAGATCGTCACCATAGTTCTTTGAAATCCAGGCAACTTCCATTGGCTCTGAGATTTTAGCAACCTCCCTGTACTCGTCCTAGCCAACGCTGCGAAATTGGAGGCTCTTCTGGTGTCAGGAGAATGATTGTTGGGTTCTGAACGTGGAGCTGGGTATACTCACGAGTAGTTTGCCAGGCTCTCTCAGAGTAGACATGGAGCTTATTTGTTGGAGGCGGCTCCTGACCGCCTTGTGTATACTACCCATTCACTTGGTTGCAGGCTTTTGGCCGAATTGACTCGTGGAATACAACCCGCATAAGAAAAAACGCGCCCACATACGCAAGCATGAGTACGCATAGCGTATACAGAAAGTATGTGTCAAATCAGCGCAGCAGAAACAGGGAGTTCATTCTCTGGATGCACCTGCTTTTCAGGGAAGCAAATGTCGCTTTTGGTCCGCGATCAACTCTCTATCCGCCACCTGAGGACGCGCCACGTAGCCTCGCGACTAACCGGCTCGAGATCTCTCATAAGAGTGAGATCCGTACATATGTATATGTACATATATATTCGTAGATATATAGGCGTATATATACACGTATACACATGCATGTGTCCACATGTATACAAAGATATATGTATATATACATACGTAAATATATGTATATGTACATATATATACATATATATATATATATATATATATATATATAGGCATAAACGAGGTCAAGATTCAAGAGAAAGACCCGTCTTTCTTATCTACTTTGGAAATATTGCATCGTCATACTCGATTCCTTTACTTCGTACTCATTATCCGTGGATACCATCCAACTTCTTAAGCGCAACTTCGCGCACTGCCTGAGCATTTTCCTGTCATCTTCGATGTTGTGAAATGCTGATCGAGTCGATTCTCTATGTTGTCGTGAGATACTGGGCAGGAGGGTTCCCACTTGAATTACAGAGAGTAATTTCTTTCCGGATATATCCGGTCTCAATTTTCCGACCTTAGAGCGATCTGACGCTTGGTGAAGTCAGCGGGACACGACCTTGGAAGTGATGATCGACATCGCTACCACTATGCTATTTGCCTCTGATGCTAAATCGACAAGCTGAGCTGCGAATGAACATTGAAGTTGAAATTGTGCACAAAGCATATATATTTTAGAGAACTATTCTACGGTTTAGTCTAAGCTGAATGGCTAATGTTTCGTAGCCATTTTAAATGGCTATTTTTCGTGCCAGGTTCAGGTATTCAATCCTTTTCTTTTCTCCTGCGCACACATTTTTTCCGGACGGTGCAAGTTTTCTGATGGCTACCCTCTATGGAGCTTGTTGTGAAAGAGATATGGAAATCAATACCGAAATCAAATATGGTGTGGGTCAATAGAGCAAACGCAGCGGGCCTAGAGCCTTAAGTTAGTTCTCGGCTTAAGAACGACTGTCCATCGAACATGACCTGTATTATACTTGCTTATTAAGACCTAAAAACTTTTTTCCACTTACGACCTTGCGTCTACCGACCCGTCATCATTTAAAGTGAGACCGATCGTCAATTGTATAGGTGGACCAACGCATAGAATAGCGTGTTTCCTAAACCTTATCCTGACCCATTCGCTTAAACTGATACCAACCTATCTGTCTAATACCAAAATATTCCTAGATAACTTACTGTGCGCGCAACTAAACAACACGGATGTAATGAAGTCATTCGATGTTACTTCGCTTTATACCAACGTGTCGAATGACTCCGCAATGCAAGCCATTCTCGAGTTGCTCGTAGAGCACGGAAAGAAAATAGAAATGTACGGCTTGTCGATTGCGTAACTAATGGCTGTTTTAAAACAGTGTCTTAGTTGACTAATCTTTAGGTGGTCTGGAAAATGTTTTGCACAAATTAGAGGGTTAGCCATGGGACAGCGTTTAGCACTAAGCCTGGCCCTAGCTTCCATATCTAAGATAGGAGCTCCAGGTGGAAATGTAAACGATTGTGAAAAAGCAGTGCATATGTGTATATATGTAATATACATAATATTTTTCCTAAAATAATCAGAGCAGATTAAGGAAGCGGAGGAGATAAGCCTAGGAGAAATCCTCTGCCTGGCTCGAATTATGGTTGTAAAACAACTAAGCAAAAAGCTGAGTGTGTTAAGTATTGTTAGAATGAGCAGTCTAAGCAAAGTTGTTACCCAGCTTGCGTTTAGAAAGCTAATCATATGTTGACATAAGTGTGATCTCCTCCTAAACGTCGTTGTGAAAGATAAAACCCAGAGTAAAAACAGTTGAAGAATTGACAGAGACAACCACGGATTGTGACAGAAGCACACAACTACTTTGCATCGTCTCACCCCCATCTGGCATTGTCTAGGAAAGTGTTAGCTTTAAATGGATTTTCGGATGACCATCGCGCATATTCTGGTCGACTTACTGCGGCTGTGATGATGGGGAACTAGCCGGTACTTTAGCCGTAGTAAAATTTTGTTACAACTTCGTGATTACTTATCAATGCAGTAAAAGATGTTACGGTCGCTCTAGACGAATCGGAAAGCGGAATTATGTAACTGGATGCTTTAAAAAAGGCTCACGGCGTTGGCCGTTTCCTGAGGGATGCGCCGTGCATTTGACTTCATTAATCATCGCTGGAGGTGTTTGAATGCATATGTGGCTCGTAGTGGTCTACTGATGTATCAAGCCAGTGCCCTATAATCCCAGACAAACCTGGTGTTAACTTGCCAACCTTAGAGAGATGAAAAGCTTGGTAACCTTAGGGCCCAAGTATCGATTTCATGTATGTGTCTCAAGGCGCCTGCGACCACTGCGCCGCACGCACCCTGGTAAAATTAAATTTCTATCCATGAGCACGTAAACAGGAGAAGCTATATACATATTCCATGTATGTGTGTACATGCATAAGTCTAAATACTGGATTCAGCGATGGATTGGCCAATTCGTAGTGAGCGGCCAACCAAACGAAACGTTGATTCACATCAGAATTCCCAGTGGGAGCAACAATATCATGAGACACGTCGCATGGAGCAGATATCCAGCATATGTCATATCCCTATCTTACGTGCATAACATATACTTCATCCGGAGCGTTATATATTGACAGTTCGCTTTAGTAGACGGGTTCTTCTCTGGGTATAAATTTAAGTGGATGCCGAAATGCAAGAGGAAATTTCACACTACAATGCATCATCCACTTTCCTTTCACTTTTAATTCCTTGTTTGAATATTGGATCGAACAGTGCAAAGTGTAGAATGAGAGTTTCTGCTTTACAAGCGGCAATAACTTGCACTGACGAAAAACTTCGACTCAGAATTCCATTTGGGAAGGAGTTTATTATCAAGAATGCAATAAATTCACATGTATCACCTGTAGAATTAATTCATCTATTAATTACTGTGAATTATCAATGAAAACAAGGAGTGAAACTTCCACAGCAAAAAACATTCCGTTATTTTCAATTAAAATATGTGTTTCTAAATTAATCGCTCTAGTACGAATATTTGTGAAAACAACTTGAAGATATTTGTCGATGGCAGCCGGCGCTCACAAGTGTTGGAGCACATCGTCAAAACCGTTGTGGATACGAAGCGTAGGCGATGGCCAGTGGCCGATAGATCGCATGGCGCGAGTGTCGTGCACCGATTACCCTCGGTAGCTCGGCACTCCTGGCGGGCACGAAATGTGGAATGTATTTCTACACAGTAGCCCGCCACCAAAGTGGCAGTAGCCACGGGTAGTGCGAGAGAGCACCCCATTGGGCCAAGGGATGATTTACCTTGGCCATGGCCAACAAGGCCGGCATGGAAGAGCTGCCCAACAGAGAAGATGCTCGAGGAAAACATCCCTTCGCGATACATAGTTAGAAGATAAAACCCCCAAGCTTGAATTCAATTACGAGATGCATTTGAAACTACTATGAGGGCCGGATCATCTCGACACGACTAATTCGGCCACGTCCCCCTTGTTCTCGCAATTTTCGATTCAACTGTGTCTGTTTTAATAGAAGTTTTATTTATTTGAAGTACTAGAAGTTTAGCATAGTTTGATCTATTGTTAATTAATCTAAATTCCTTATAGAATATGACATTTGTAGTTCCACGTCTTAAAGAGATCAATAACGTATCAAAACAGCTTTAAACAGACTCAGTGACAGTATTCCTTCAAAATGCAGCTGTGAGGATGTCACATAAACTGGAACACGTAACATTGAAGAAGGTCGCTTGATGTTTGCCTTGTTTGTTTAATGGGATTTGGTATAATTTTTTCTTCAAAACAGGCGCTACGAAGTGCTCAGGTCGTCTCAAACACCGCTATTTGCTATGATCTAGACACGCCATGAGTCGAAGAAAACGAGGAATGGGCCACCAGTTTCTATGAGGACTTCGACCACAGTCGGGCTTCTTCTTGGGTTTCTCGACTAGAAATTAACAGAAAAACGAATGGCTGCTTTCACGTTATTTTCCGTATTTTTTTGCCATTTTTTCACCCATTAGCGCTTAGTGATGGTTTTGAAGATGACAGATGAACAACCGAACGTCATAAACTATGTAGTGGACAAAATTCAACAAGGGTATGGAAGTGATCACAGTGTGATGCCGATGATAGCGCTGTTAAAGTCATCCTGGCACTTTGAAATATCAATCAACAGGAGCAGAAGTGCGAAATTTCAAATTATTTTTTGGTTTCTTGGTGCATGTTTCCACGAAATTTCATAATTCTCTGCAAGTAATCCACGTTTTCTGTCTATTTTGGTATTTGCTGCGAATTAAACAAGTGGACACGATCGAAGACAACGTATTCTTCCGTTGCATCGAGTCGAACATGCCTTCTGACCTTACACTACTGGTTGTCCACTGTGCAGTTTCGTATTATTCTGATGGAACTCTTCTCAGATTTATGACTATCGTATTTCACTTTATCGTTCCAAGGAATTGGTTCAGTTTCAAAAGCTTACATGCATAAACCTGCGAGTAACGACACCAATCGTGTTATAATTACCACGGAGAGAGGCTTTAAAGCCATTTCTGAGTGCATTCCTGAGACTGTGGTGGTACTGCGCTTCTAAACGTAAACTATTTATTTCATTGCATGCTCGTTGAGTTCTAAATGTTTATTCTAATATTCCCATGTCTTCAGGTATTGTCAGAGCAACATGCCATTTCCGTGTGCACGACTTCCAGTGAAAACTATGAAATTTTCGAGGTTTTATAGATCTTAGTGTACGTATTCCTGAAATGATCACTCAGCGTTTTCATTTAGATGATGGGTACAGAATCCGTTTGTAAGGCTATTGAACGTGAAAAGAACAACACCATTTGTTTTGGTGGGTTGTAGTCAGCAGCCGCCATCTTGCTCTTTTATGCAAGGTTATGACGGCGAAAGCTAAGTTTCACAAATGACGTGGGTTCATAGTGATTTGTGCCACCTATGCTCCTCAGACCGTTTTCATTGACGGGTGATTGCTGACAGCACCGCTAAGGTAAAAACCTCCTCGGAAAAATCAAAGCAAAAGCACTGGTGCAGTGAATAAGACCAGAGCGCCAGAACGGGTAGAGGTTCATTGGAAGCCAGTAGGATCCGAGTTCTGCAAATATTTCAGCATCATTATAGTTGTATCTCTTATAGTATCCTGCCACGGAAAAAAATAATAAGCAATAAATAAGAAGTTAAACAGTGTGATTTCCACTGTTGCTTCGGCTTAACCTTGCCAATTTGTGCTTCCCACATCATTTCCGTTGACGTGATTGCTGCTAGCAGCCTTAGTGCAAAAGGCTTGGCGAGAGAAAGACAAGGCAAGGCTCTCGGTGGTGCAGTGGGAAGGACACAAGCACCTGGGAATTGTGATCGTAGACTCGAAGCTGGCACATGGTCCGAGTCTTGCAGCAACAGCCAACTATTTCTACAGGAGATTTTACAAAATATGCCCACCTAGAAAGTGACACGGGCTACGATACACATTTTTTAAACCGCATCCACCTACATAATTATTCCCATACATCACCTCTTTAGACGGTGATAAACGGCTTTCATTACAACATTTCTAGCGACAGGTCTCTTGACGCCTTTGAGATTGCTGTGTTCTCAATTCCTCGTTATATACATTCGCTGTGCCGTTAAGGCAAAATATTCTTGCGACGTTAAGACACCTTTTTAACAAACGCAGAGGGGTTAGGATCCTCGCGCAAGAATCGAGAACACAAGCGCGCAAAACTCTAGAGGCATTCTGGATTAATTCCAAGGATCCGGAAATGAACCGCAGGAAGGAATGCCTCATTATCACGCGTGATATTGGGCAGTATATAAGCCTGTTATTTTGATGAGATAGGCACATTACGATTCCATGTGAACTCTGTAAGGTTGCTCCCTGCGTGACATACTGAGTGGAAAGCTCTTAGAAAGCGGTGAATGTGCAAGGACGCTATTCTGTGTTCAGTGTGATTGAAATCTTGGTTTGAAATCCTGGTTTGGCATTTTCTCTGTTTGGTTATGGAGGTGTTTGGCAGAGCAGATTGCAATCAACTTAACCTTTCCAGGCCCTGAAGTAGGCGAAAAAAAATTGACCGCCGAAACGTCAGCTTGTACGTAAATAAAGAAATAAAATAGCACCTCGTGTTTGCTGAACAGTAGGAAGAATGATTCAATCAATGCCGAGGTTAATAGAAAGTCGGTTGTAGGATTGAAGAATATCAGTTTATAAGGCCATGTAAACAAATATATGAACTATTTATGGCGAGGTTTATAGAAAGTCGGTCTCTTGAGTTATTAAGAAATGCGAGAGTTGATTCATTACTTGAGTTCATCAGATCTCGCGCACTCTATCTGCTCTGACTGCATATTTAGGTCACTTCTTAAAGTTGTTTGCTCAACTTCTTCAAATTAACAACATCCCGACTAACTGTGTAGCGAGACGAACTCGTTCTTCGAACTTCTTACCAGCATTGTTAATGATCAATTTAGCAGCTACCATGCGGATGGTGTAAGTGAATTTACGCAACATTTATTGCTATAATTGTAGCAATAATAATAACAATACTAACATCAGCAATGACAGTAGTAATAACAGCAGCAATAATACAACGGTGATAATGGACGTGAAGTTTTGTTGATGACACAAGGGTGTTTGGTCAGCACACCTAACACTCGTCGTACCTCTTCAAGATAACATTTTTTAATAGTTCGTGTTTGACAGCTTTATAATAACAAACAGATACGTTTTTCTGAAAATGTGCTGACTATTTATAATGTTCTTCATGGTGTTCCTCTTTGAAAACGTGTGGATCGGCGGTCAGATAATCAATGCGAAGTCAACAGCGACCGTTTAAAATTCGCATGTCATAAAATCTGTTTAGCTCCTCATTAAGGCATTCGGTTTCCTTCGACCTTCATTACAACGAAAAGTACAAATTTATCTGCAAATTCATTCGCATATGTCTACAAGGCAATGACACTGATGTTGCTTCGCATGTCTCCCAGGAAACTTGGGCAAACAGTGTTTTGCATGCAAAGTGGTATTATTACCGAATTTTGCATAATTACAATAAAGCTTTTACCTCTATTTAATTGTGTATTTATTAATATGTGCGGCGTTTTGTGTAGTTTTTTAACTCTATTCGATTTACATTTTAATTTGCGTTCATTCCATTTTTTAAATTTTTTTGTGTTTTTGCGTCTTCACCTTTTCTACACTCAGTTCTAGCTCGAAATGGCAACGAGTGCTGCAGAATGGATTGTCCTAAAAAAGCAGACCATTATCAAAAGACAGTCACTATCAACACCATGCGTCCTGTACAAAAGGGCAAATCCTTGTGAGGTTATTCAATTCGAGCGTGGTTTCATTGGATTCGACTCGATGCGATCTCGAAAAGACAAGCCGGAAGCCGGAACAGCTGTGGACAACCGCCTTGATGAATTCGGTTCTGAAGAAGGAGAAGGCACCGAAACGCTAGACGAATGGCGTTTTAATTTTATCAACTTCATGCTAGATTACCAGTAGAAGAATACATATCTTCTAGTTATGTGAAGCTTAGACGAGTATTGGTTTTTGAAATATTCCTTAATTACTTGCTTCTCCTTAGCACAGTCCTTTATCGCGAGACTTTCAATCTCTTGTCAAGTTATTTACGTCTAAAGTAAAGAAAAAGAGTTGATTAAAACAGAGAGCTCGTTGGTCTTACATTAAATGCCAGTTCTTCAACATTTAGGCAAGGCTTCTTGACCACCCGGATGTGTGAAACATCTCTTCAGGATCAGTTCTCCAACAGCAGTTTCGGGAACTATGTTTCCTCATGGTGAATAACTGAAAAACTTCTTTAGTTCTCATCTAACACAAAAAAACATAAACCACAGCCGTTCGAAGAGGCACCATTTTTGTGTTTTATTTTACACGATCCGACTTCACTTATTGCCTGGATCTCAGCGCTTCCTGTTTTCCAGTGGTTTCTTCGCATCCTAATCCCCGAATATTCTCGCACTTTTTGCCCATGGGATCAGCAGCTAACTAGAGAATTGCTCGTCCTTTTGAATTCCGTGAAATGCTCGTGGAGTCGATTAGCTCTCGAGTTCTGGAGAGCCATGCGAAGGCTTTCCTAGATTTTCATCATAGGCAGTCGCTAGTTCTAATGGATTCGAAGAAGGAAACATCGTGGACATTTTGCTAATTTCCAGATCCCCATTAAAACTGGAAGCCAAGTTGGCCATGGCTGGGTCAAATTGGACTCCTGTACGTATTGAACGGCACCACGATCACTGCTCTCCAAGCAGCGAACTGTAAATGGTCCGTATACTTACTTGATAGTTGACATTCGAACCACCCGTCCTCATTGGTTGTACGGTCTCCAGCGTAATCTCCACTTTTTAAAAGTTTTCTGGCTAAGCCATTATGGTTTCCTGGAATTTCTAGGTCAGCCTGGCCAAAGTTTGCCCTGGTCTCACCACCACAGGCAGTAGAAGCTCTTGTGGAGGAGATTTGGCACTATGTGACTTTGAAGCCTGAACATTGGTGAATCCTAGCATTGGTTTGATCTTATCTAGGCTTTCTGATGAGAATGCCAGACTCCTTCTCACCGTGGGAGGCCCTACCTGGGAGAGAATTTCTCTGCTGTACGACGCAGTCCGATACCCAGGAACACCTACTAGCCACTGCGAGGCGGTAGACCGTTGGGAGAAATGGCCCATGTAGATAGCATATATTTTCAAAAGCTGTGCGTCTAGGAAATTTTGGCTACATTTAGCAGCTATTAAAGGCGAAGCATATTGCGAAAATACACGAGATTGCGGCTATCTACTGCGCCACAACCAAATTCCAACATTCCTTACGGGAGAGTCATCAACCATATGTGACTATAATCAGCTGTTTTAAACTTCCTCATTGGAAGTCACGTAAAAAGCGGTTCTGAAAAAGGCGATACTGCCGGAACGTCAGCTAGTGTTGTATTGTATTGTGTTTTTCTATGGAAGTAAATGCATGCTGTTTAAAAACCTCGCGATTTCTGAACAAGAAAACGACGCATTGCTTATGGATGTAACATTTGAAAGGCGGCTCCGATGATGTGATGTCGTCTTTTCGACAAGTCGAAGCCTTGGAAATGTGAAGTGCGAATTTAAAAGAGTCGATTTTTTAACAACGTAGAAATACTTTGGTGGAGTTTCGTAATAGTACTTTATTTGCTTCTTCTTCAAATTAAGTTGCTTTCTATCTAGATTGAGACCATTTCCTTTTTTTTCTTACTGTATCACCATTCCATCATCCGCCTTTTTTCTTTATGATGAGCGTTTTACCTTCACCTCACTCCCATAACATATGTTCACAGTAGTGTAGTTCACTTGCTACAGTCCTCTCTAAAATTTGAGCAACATGAACTTTTCAAAACCTATTCGACACGAGTAATGCTTAATTATTACCAAATGGGAATGAATACTGACACTGAACGTTTTTTTCTTCACAGAACGTCCGTTCCATAAAAACCATTCTCCGAAAAAAGCGAAATCGTCGTTGGACATGGTGTTCATCTAACGCCACGATTCTTTCAGATATCGAAACAATACTCACATTTACTTACCTAGATTCTTGGATCGCCCGTTTTCACTGGTTGCGCGAGCTCGTGCATAATTTCTGTTTTTCGGAGTTTTGCTTGTCAAGCTATTGTGGTTTCCTGGAGTCCTGAGTTGAGTATGGCAAAAGTCTGTCCAGGTCGTCACCAACACAGGCAGTCGCCGACGTTTGTGGATCTGAAGAAAATTTGCCACCACGTGACTAGTTTTATACCAAAACCGTGGTTGACTTTGGTATTGGTTTACACTAAGCTGGATTTTCTGAGGGAAACGCTGGACTCCTT